TATTAACGATGCTATATAATTAAGTACTGGTCTTTGCGGAGCATAGTGGTTTTGCTCACGCCCCCATTATGTTTTTCAGGTGACGGAGCGGCGCGTGGCGCGTGAGATTTCAGTGGTGGTCGTGGTCACTAGTAGTCTTTTTGTAACGCATTTACATGTTATTTATTGAACATGTATTATTAATATTATGCGTAGACATATTATATGTCAGCTTCCGCACATTTCAGACTTAGTAAGTATTATGAGATATTCAGACTTATGCATGTATAATGCCTTTATCTCCGTGGTACCTTCATATAACGGATTTGATTAGGTTGCATGTATTTATTTACGTCTGCATGAGAAAGAGGTTAAGTTAGTAGCATCCCGCGAGTTAGTATGAGTATTTTCGAAAATAAAGTTTAAGAGTTTTTCGAAAATAAAAAGCAAAAATTTTACTCTGATTTTATAAATTCTAGAATAATTAGGCGGGGTGTTACAAGTGATCCCTTCAAGAATGTGACAAATGCTGGCTTTAGTGAGAGAGGAGGTGTTTCTACTGTAGAAAACTGAGGATTTTGCCATGTTGAATTTCTGACCCGAGAAGAGTTGGTATTTTTTTAGGATTTTCTTCAACTTATGTGCTTGACTAACATCAGCTTTGCAAATGACCAAGGAACCGACATCAAAGATGAGATGAGACAGAGTAGGGCTTCTTCTAGCAATTCTAACTCCTCTAAATGATCCATCTGATAGAGCTGAGTTGAATAGAGCAGAAAAAGCCTCAGAGACAATAAGGAACAGGTATGGAGACAGGGGATCTCCCTATCTCAGCCCCCTGGTTAGCTTGATGTAACCCACTGATTCCCTATTGACCATAAAGGAGAAGGAATGGGATGTAATGTAGGCAAATATCCATTTTATGAAAGTTGTATCAAATCTCATCTTAGCCATGATATCTCTAATGCAGCTCCATTCAACTCTATCAAAGGCCTTGAGCATATCCAATTTTAGAGCCATGAAGCAATGGGGACCTGATCTGTGCCTGTTTAGGTAGTGATAGGCTTTCCTGAGCAATGATTATGTTATCAAGGATGTTTCTGCCAGGTAAAAAAGGCCCCTTGAGAAAGGCTGATGCAGCAATTGAGACATTCCTTCAGCCTTGCAGCCAAAATTTTGGAGATGACCTTGTATACAACTCCACGGAGACTGATTGGCCTGAATTAAGAGGTAGGGTTGTTGCACTTTGGAATCAGGGTAACCAAAATGTGGTTCCAATATTTTATGATTTTTCCTGAGGAGAAGAAGCTGAGAACAGCATCACAGAAATCCACTTTGAGTGTAGGCCAAAAGTGCTGGAAGAAAAGAGGGGTCATTCTATCCTCTCCAGGAGCTTTGAAAGGACTAATTTGGAAGAGCGCTCTCTGAATATCCTCTTCAGAGATTGGGCTGGTGAGAGTCTCATTCATGTCATCTGAAATTGTTCTGGGAATGAGATTAGTGATTTCTGAGGAACCTTGGGAGCCTTCAGAGGTAAATAGTTGTTGGTAATAAGAAGAGATTTCTTTGGCAGTCTTCCTGGGATTCACAAGGTCTGTTTTGGGCATCAATAAGTCTAGAGATTGCATTCCTTTTTCTTCTATGCATTGTATATGCATGGAAAAAGCTGGAGTTTTGATCTCCTTCCTTGTGCCAGAGAACTCTTGATTTTTGTTGCCAGTAAATTTCTTCTGAGAAATTTGAGCCTGCTCCAATTCGTTTTTTATAGCTTCCCAAGCATCTCAGTTTTTGCCTTCTCCAAGAAGTCTTATTTCTTCTAGCTTCAGAGTGAGATGCTGAACTCTCTCCTTATGCTCTGCTCTGAATAATTTACTCCATTTAGAGAGGGCCAAGAGCTAGGGAGTGCCTAGTTGGGAAATGGACCAAGCCTTGATAACCACATCTTTGCAATCTTCTCTGCTAAGCCACCTCGTATCAAAAATAAATCTTCTTGGCCTCTTCTGGGAGTGAGCTTTGTCATCAAGAATAAGAACTCCATGGTCGGAGGCACTTCTGTACTGATTAGAAATATGAGCTTGTGGATATTTAACTGAGCCATTGTAATGAGCCAAAGCCTTTGTCCAGCTTCTCCTCCACATAGCCTTCTTGTGATCTGTTGTTGCCCCAAGTGTAGTGGTATCCAGTCATGGGAATCTCGTCCATTCCCATAGAAGATATAAAAATTTTGAAAGCAAGGTAGCTGGACTCTGGTCTTCTAATGCCTTCCCTTTTGTCTTCCTTGTTGAGAATATCATTCCAATCCCCCAGGATTGACCATACATCACCCCATTCCTCTTTGTCTTCCAGTTGGCTCCATTGACATATTTTGGTGGCCTTGTCAGCGTTCATATAAACAAAAGTGATCCAACATATAACATCACAATTGGCCAAGAAGTATTGAACTTGAATATAAAAATCAGAATCAATAAATCTTCAAAATCTGGACATCAAAGTCCCACATCAGCAAAAGACCCCCTTTGGATCCAAGGGGATCCACAAACCTAACTCTATTATCAAAACCAAGCTTCCTACAGACGTCCAAAGAAAAATCTTTTTGTTTTTTAACTTTAGAAAGAAAAACAAAGTTTGGGTGGTGAGATTGAATAACCTCTCTTATTTGGGAAACTGTAGAGGGTCCACCCAAACCAGTTCCACACCATAGTCTTCATTGGGGGGTTGGGGCTATTTGTAGCTGGCTTCCTCCACCTTGGACTCAGTGAGCTTTAGCTTTTTGTTATCTTTGGTTGCTGAGATGTTGTCTTTGCTTTCTGGTGGGGTGTTTCCCTCCACGGTTCTTTTGTCTCTTAGTTGATGCATCTCCCATCACTCCCTTTGTTTTCCTTGCCAGTCTGCCTTCTTTGGATGCAGCTCTTCTTCATGTTTTCCCAGTGGCTGGTTTGTTGGTTAGAGCTTTAGGAACTTGGCTCTTTCCATTTTCAGGGGGTTGCTAGTTTCCATGGTCATAATAATGTTGTCTGGATATGGTTGAGTGCATGAGTTACTCTCAGGAATGTGTTCAAGACAGCTACTATTTCTTTACCTTTTGATTTTGGGGTAGAGAGGTGAAAAGATGATGATGATTCCTCGGCTCCTTGAGGGGTGTTGTCTCTGGCGTTGCTTATATTCATGCCTGGGGAAGAGATTGGGTTGGTGTCTTGGTGTTGTGGAGAGTGAAATTGTCTGCCTTCAGTGGAGGTTCCTTGAGAATTTAGACCATCTTCTGTCGGTTGAGATTGGTTGATGTTTGATGGGGAGGTGGATATGATGGTACCTTCAAGGGCCTTCATTCATTCACCATATTTACCCTCTTGAGTAGCATTGTTAGCCATGTCTTCAGCTTTTTATGACAATTTCTATCAGTATGTCCCAATTTCCCGCAGTAGTAGCAAAAGCTAACTAGTTTTTCATACTGAAATTGGATCGTGACCACTTGCTCCCCCAATCTGATTTTTATCCACCTTGGAAGAGGTTCTTTGAGATCGATGCCAACTTGAATGCGTATAATTCTCCCTCCTTGCCCTTCTGCCTTGGCTAAGTTAACCTATTTCACACTTTTAAACACTCTTCCCAATTCCAGCCCTACATCTGTGCTAATCCAATGAACTGGGATTCCTTGTGCTTGAAACCAGAGTGTAATCTCATCAAGGATAGGATGGGAGGGCGATATACCTTCCGTCCATTCTCGGAGAATCAGATGTTGGTTTTCCAAAAATTCAGCTTTTTCCTTCTACAACTTTGAAATAGGAATTGGAAATAGTTGTGTCCCAGCTCCCTAACTTCCATGGTGTTGCCTACTTTCCAAAGATAGCTCATCGTGCGTTTGATGCCCACCCAGTTAGCCTTTCGTTCTCCGATAATCTTACCAAATAAACTTCTTTGGTATTCCTCCAAGCTGAATTTCACATCAGTTGTTTTGATGTCTACCACTGCATCTTCAATTTCGGAAATCGAGAATTTACCCAGACGTTGCCCTAATTCATCTTCCATAATAGTAAAGGGGTCAATGGAACCTCGAGAAGCGGCGATCTAAAAAACCTCCCAACTAGGAGAAGCGAAAACTCCGAAGAGAAGGTACTCTCAATCAACGACAGAAGAACTCGCCGAGGAGAAAAACTCTCAAGCAAGGAGAGAACAAGTAGTGTCTGTTGTTTCGACATTTTGTGTTCCAATTTAAGCCATGGATTGTTAGATTTTGATTCGTGAGTAATTTTTTGTGCTATCGGTGTCCTGTTGGTCTTTCCAAGGTGAAAGTTCTTATTTATTTACCCTATAGTTTGTTTTTTATTTCAATTTAGTACTATTTTGGTGTCTAACAAATCTAAGCTCAAATTTATGTATTTTTTTTATCTTTGCTCTGGACAACTGTGGAACTACTGAAGCACAAACAAGTCGACGGGATGATAGGGCCACAAAAATCAGCTCATTAAACCTTTTTTATCTGAATATTGAACGAAATAGAAACTGTTCTTCTTGTGTCCTATCTGAAAATTACAGTGCCCACTCGTACGCTATCCGCAACGATTTGCATTTATTCATCTCTGAAGATTATCAGATATTTGGAGTGCCCAGAAACATCCAGAGTACATACTCATCAATGATGAACTACAAGATGAGCCCAGTTGATTACACCAACTCAAGAGAAGCAAACAATGCAATGAAAAACAGTTGCAATAGTATTATTTGGAATGCAACAAACACACCAATAGCAAATGTTAATAGCATAAGGAATGAAATTCTTCAGAACAATAAATCCCCCAACGTAGAATCAAACACCATACTGAAAAGCATATAAACAGAGACTCACTCATTCATGGATGGACTGTGAGTCCCTAACTTTACCACAATACCATTTTCGACCCAGCAAGACACCAGCCGCCAAAACGAAAAAAAAAAAAAAAGAATTTATAATCACGAAAAAAGAGAAAGCATTACACAAAGCACAGCCCAGAAACGTTGAGGAGAAAGAAAAGGAAAAAAAATTGTCAGTTGGTCCTTGTACTATTCCTCCTTCCCCACCACTTCTTCTTTGCCCCATCACCCGACCCCACCCCTTCCTCAGTTCCCATCCTGTGCAGAATAAGCTTCGTCTCCCTCAGCCTCGCCCCGTAATCCTTCTTCCACGCCTCGAACATCTGCTTCAGCCTCCGGAACTCCACATCCGGATCTAAACCCGCCTTTGCCCGACCCGACTTCACCTCAACTAGGAACCTTGCGTCGTCCCCAAAAACCCGACTCCTCTGCTCAAACTCCTCCGTCAGCCGCCCGATGACGTCTCCATCGCTGGCGTCCGACTCGCGGGGGGACCCATTTCCATCGAGGCCGAGGGTTTTTTTTGCAATGGAAAGGCTCGACTGTAGGGAGCGCATCTGCTTCTGCCAAACCTCCTCCATGGACCTCATCTTCAGCTCGTATTCGGACCACCGTTCCTCATACTGCTGCACCCTCTGCCGGAGGATGTCGTTCTCCTCTTCTTTTTCTCTCAGAGAGGCTTCAGCCCGTAGGACCCGTCGCTGGAGTTCGGCTAAAAAGGACGACTTCACGAGCACCTCCAAGGCCTCATTGTCCTTTTTTTTTTCAGTTAACAAAAAGACGGTCACTGATTTCAGTTAACAAAGAAAACATGGGATGACTGATCTTAAGTAATGGAAGCAAGTAGCTCGACGAAAACCAATCTAAAGGTCTATTAAGTATGAGATCATACAAAATTCCACTAGGTAATGACAGAATTTAGAGCCCTGAGTACCTTTCTGCCACCAAATTGTAGCAATCCTATGTCCCCCGAACACCTTCTGACCAACCAACCACGAATAACTGGGAAAGAGAAACGACAGGAAAAATAAATCTCTACTAATACCTCTCACAATTAAAAGCTATCAGGAATCAGTATGTACTCTGCTACAGTATATGGAAGGCAGATAAATAAAAAATAAAAATAAAACAATTTAATTCCCACTATTAAGGTTCACGTAATACATTATATACTCTCGGTAAATATTTGTTGCAATGGACCCAGCTAGGAAGTCATCATGGGTAAGCAATAGTACAGAGAATACAAAGCTACATATTCAAGGGTGATCTGCCACAGAACAATATTGATGACTGATACCTGATTGTACAACAGTAGATGCGTCGCTTAATCTTTGGAACTTTCTTTGGCAAATCCTGGACTTTATGCGCTTTTGGATATTTATAGCAGCTCTATGCCTCTGCAATAAGGCTGCATACTCTTTTCTTGTTTCTTCACCACGGACAACTGCATTTAATCTTCATGGCTCAGAATACGTTATCAAGGAAAAAAGTTCAGAGTTGCTAATCCACGAATACGTACAAGACTGAAGAGTGACAATGCCTCTCCTAAACTCCTTCAGATAACAGCGAGCTTTATGACCCCTAAAGACACTTTGCAAGCGCAAGATACCGTGAAGCGTACGATTTCTTGTATCTTCAAGAACTCCAATCTACACAACTCACCAAAAAGTGAATTAGATATCTAGAAATACTGAAATAGTGACCTGAAACAGCAAGTCCCAAATTACTGCACTGTCTTATTTTGTTCGTGCTATAAAATATTCACATGAAGACATAATTTTTTCAAATCAATAAATCTCAGTATTTCAACGCGTGCCTACAGAGATAGCGAAAGGGAGAACATGAGAAGAAACAAAACAATTAAAAAAATAACATTTCCGTGAAAGTCCAGCAGCTATTTAGCTCTTCTATGATAGGCTACAAAGGGATTTTTTTATTCCTTTTAAGTGAATGAACAAGAAAAACAAAAAAAAAAATCAAATTACTAATATTAATTTAATTCGAAGTTGAACCCAGTTTTGCAGACATTGAAATACACTAAGAAGAAAAAGTAAAACGAGGAAGAGGGCGGCGATGAGTTGCGACTTGGGTGCATTTTGACTGTATCTCAAACATTTATTCCTTGTAATTCGATAATTAGAAAGAAAGGAAGGCAATCAATTTTGGGTCATTTAATATTATGGTCCAGGTTAAATGATAGGGTATTCTTCTCACAGAGTGCACTTTGCCATGTTGCATATATACTTTTAGGTTAAGGATCATCAGACACATCAATGTGTCTTGTGAGAAGTTTTAGCTCCTTCAAATAATTGTTAGCTGAATTTAAATTCTGATAGTTCTGTTTAGCATTGCTAATGAGTAGTCAGGAAATTTCAGTTCAGACACTTCCACATGCTCTCTAGTTATCTTTTAACAAAGTTTTCGAACATCAATATGTACTGAAGAGTACTTACCAGTTATGTTTCTGCAATTGACGCTTAAATCGTTTTAGTACGAAAGATATATGTATTTTGTTACAGACCACTCTATTACATTATTATATAGGGTTTGTCTGGCAGTTAGATAGGGGATAGCTGATTGTATTAGTGGATTTGACTAGTGGATTCAATTAGCGGTTTGTGAAGAAAGTTTTAAATAAATAGCAAAAATTTATAGTTGTTACGTTGTATTGCCTTTTTTTTTAATCACTTATTTGGAAAACGCTGCTATTGTGATCTTTTTCATAACTAGTAAAATGCACGTGCGATGCACGTAGTGACAAATGTTTTTGGCCGATTAATTTAGTAAGATAAATTAATTAATTTATTAAATATATGATTGTAGAAACAAAATAAAATGGAGAACAAATAAACTCTTAATTTTTTTTTTTTCAAAAATAACATAATGATGTCGTAACATAAAAATATTTAAATAACATATTACAAACACAACAAAAATATATAAATGAGTCCCAAATAAAAAAAACGTTAAATAACTAAATAAAAGACCTAATATATATCATAGATGCATGAGTTTCCTTTTATTTATTTATGTTAGATTCAAGAGTATTTTTCATTCATTTTAGTTTTGGCGTTCTCGTAAAACACATTCATACTCGTTGGAGCCCAATACATCAGTAGTATTGCAAAATTCTTCTTAATTAATTTGGCACAACGTCTGCTTTATTCAACACTTAGAAATACTTCTCTATGAAATAACCAACTGTGTCATTAAACTTCGTGATATTTTTTTAATCATTGTATGAGAACTACTGCATTACTCTCTCTTTCTCTTTCTTTCTTTCTCTCTCCCCATACAAACAAATTGGTACCTATGTACTGGGGTGGGAACGGATTTCATCTCAAAATAAAAGTTGATTTTCCAAAATCATGTACTTCTCCGAAGATGCTAAATTATTTTAAAATCATCCCACATTCATACACATTACATGAAAGTACATACTCTAAAGTAATTGCGCATATGATTAAGCACAATACACAATTAAGATTGCAAATGTTCTTATAAAAAGTGACAACTTATTCAAACATTCAAAGTTATTTTGATCAGAACCAAAAATTACCTTTCCAGTGTTAATTATTATTTTAAAGATAGACAAACTACATAACCTATTATTTGCAAATCGTTGCATTTTAGTTGTTGCAATGATTTTAGTGTTGTTTGTCTTAATACCTTTCACATTCGTTCTAGTTTGTAATCTCATAACTTATTTAATAAATTAATTGACCAAATTTTTGCATCGTACATAATGCTTAAATAATTCAAGATAAAGATCCTTTTTTTATTCTTCAATAATAACAAAACAAAACAAAACAATGAGACCATAATGAGAAACATATCATTTGTCAAAATATTTCAGATGAGAAGAATTTGAATTCTATTATATAATGATACTTTTAGTCATATGTGAACTTTACTATTATGAAGTCATTATTAAAGTTTTTCATCAATATTACGATAATATAGAATCATTATTTATGAGAACCAATTTCTTATAGAGAACATATATTTAAATGTTAGCAACAAAAAATTAGTAATTTTATAAGATATGTGTTTCTTGATATTGGTACCCATACTTTTCTAAGAAAATTCAGACCTTCTCTTTTTCCAATTGCATTACTATTGTTTTATTTGTTTTTATTTTATTCACAAATGATATTTTATTTGTTGAAAAAATTAGAACACATTCATATGCATTGTTTTTTTTTTCGTGTTTAATAGTAATAATATATTTGATAAAAGTGTACTTTTTATATTGTATATAAAATTAAAATATTAGATTTTTTTCCATTTGTTTGATAAAATATAAGTAACTAACACACTTTAATACTCGCAAACTATATATTTTACAACCATTATGATGTTACCTTTCAAGTAGTATTGAATAATAGTTTAACATAAAATTCATTAATTTTTAATTTTAATACGCATAGTTAATGTTGGTAAAAGTTGTACGTTTACATCCATTTGCACTTCTTTCTTGATAAGAATATTTCAAATCTATGTACAAAAAATATACCACAAGTTTATGTTATTCTATAATTAATAAAATTGAGTTAACATGGATCTAGAATTTATTTTATAAGATACTTTTAGGTGCATGTATTATTTTAAATTGGTATTGATATTTATATATTTTATTTTATAACAATAAGAATAATTATATTATTTTTATTTTATAAACAATACATTTGTCATATCAAACATGATGGGAAAGAAATGATGTGATATATCACATATAATGGTGAGGTGAAGTTTCGTCAACTTAATGAATTTGCGACCAAAATTTGAAAATACAAACCACTAAACAAATAAATGACAATTTTTTTGGGAACAAAATGCAATCCAATAAAACTAAGGTGCAATTTCTAATTCTAATTCTAAAATATAAGAGTTTATTTTTTTTAAATAATGAAGTAGTTAAATGAATTCTTCCACTTTTCTAGTTTTTTAGATGCATATATTTCACGTGTGCACGATTTCGATAAAATTCTAGGTATATTTTCTTAATTAAATTTAAGTATGTATTTTTAAAATTATTTATTATACAAGTTAACCCTCAACTAAGTTATCATGTCTTACCAAGATCTATTGGATTATTTATAAGTATTTATTATATTGTTTTTGTTGCATCATTTTTTCTTCACTTCTTATGTAAAATCATTAAATATGATTACGATTTTATGATTAAAATTATATTAAAAATAATGATTGTTTTCAAAAAACAATTCAATATCATTTCAAAACTTTGTTGTTTGGGTTAAAGTTGAGTTGATTTTTTGGAGAAATAGAAGAAAGTAGTTTGAAATTATGTGGAAAAAAAAAACTCTTGAGGAATAATGGTGTAAAATATTGTGGTTGATTTTTAAGAGATGTGGAATGTTGTGTTTTTGTAATTGTGTTTAATTAATTACATATTAAATAAATATTAGTGTATTTTGACATTCGTGTAATTATATTTAATTAATTAGATATTAAATAGATATTAGTGTATTACTGATTTATAAAAATATGTCAAATAAAGAGTTTTTATGTAAACATTATTTATTAATTAAAACTATAATATGAGATGGATATTAGTCTATTACTAATTTGACATTAAAAATATGTCAAAGTAAGGGTATTTTAGGTAGTTCATTTTTTTACAAAAACACTCGTCCTTTTGTAGTAGTATAAATATAAATAAATAAATAGATATAGATATAGATATAGATAGATATAAATATATAGATTAGCATTTTGGGTCCAAAAAACTAATCAATAACCTCTTTACCAAACAAGATAATTAGCGAATTTGATTGGTCAATCATCTAAATGAGGTTCAATCCAGTAAATTAACACCAAGCCACTAACAAACAAATGAGTCCATTATCTATAATAATCTAGTGGGCTTCATCACTGCGCTTCGCTTCGAAAAGTTTGTATGGTCGAGTATCTTCAAACCTGCGCTTACTGATTCAATTACAAGTGGCGTAGCTACTTGTACTAAAAAACAAGTAAGCGTAATTCCCCCTAAACACTCTTTCTGATTGTCTCATATCCATAGCTCATCTCATTGACTGGAACTGATTGTATTGCTTACTAGAGATCCTGAGAAGCTATTTATGAATAGTTACATAGGATCCTATTCAAGTTCACCGATAGGCCCCTGCTCTCATTCCCGCTTTATACTAAGGAAAGAGAACCTATTCTTCTTAGTTACTATCCGTCCCACACAGTGTATGGTATATAAGGAGTACCCGGTAAAACTGACAAGTAAACCAGATATAAAGATGGCGACTAGGGTCTAAAGTGACTGGATCGATCATAGACTTAAATGTCGACTTGCTTTTGAATTCAAAAGCTTGATCGGAAATTAGGTAATAGGGAGAAGTGGGATCCATGCCTTGACACATGCAACTAATTACTTGTTGGCTTTTAGCATGGGTGGGAGGTTATTTTCTATGTAACAATATTTTGTTATCTACGTCAACCCTTAACTCCATAACAGACTGGAAGCCATCTTTTTGAAACGGAACTTTTTTTTTTTTCTTCACCAACTACTCATTAGACTTTCTCAGGTATGTTAACACAATGAACCCTATGCTATAAAATGACAAAAAACAAAAAATGCAGGCATATGCATGGGCATCTTTTGCTCGATTTGCTTCCTGATTGAAAATCAACAGAATAGAGTATATACAAGATTCTCACCTGTCCTGCTCGAAAAAACAGTTTTGTGTACCCAACTTGATACATCTCAGGCAGAATGTTAAACTGATGAAGAATTGCTACTGATACACTGAGTGGCTCCTGTGATGAAACATGGTCTAATAGAAGAAAACCATACCTAGAAAAGGAAGCCAGGTTAAATGGCAGCCAATCAAAGATACAAGATATAATACTCAAATCAAAACTGATTTTACTTCACCTTCTAGCGAATTTCTGATGTGACATTCTTGTCGGAAAACCAGATCTTGATATTCTGACAACTTCTAACACCCCACAGCACCTTAGCTGTTGCAGTACCAGCTCTTGACTGTAGCTTCCAGGGGACTGGAAGTTGTTAGGCTTTATACAGCGAATGAAATGTGGGGTTGTGTTTTCAAGACGTTTCATTAATTGGAATAATTGTCCCTGGCAGTCAAAAGTGATATAACAGACCCAAATCAAAAGAAAGCAATACAGAAAGAACTTGTCTGACGAAGCATTATACAAATTCAAAATCCAACCCATGCCTTCCAATCTCAAAGAAGATCAACAAATACGGGGGTAGTGAACTATGACGACCATCCATCTATGCTCACAAAGCAGGAAGTCTTAGTTTTATTTCATGAGCTAGAGGAATCTGATACCCAAGTGATTAATTTTCTAGTGGATGCAGTGAAATCTCACAATATAAGATAACTGAGACGTTTGGATTCTAGAAAGAAGTAGATCATAAGCTCCTGAGAAAAGGCTAATAGGCAAATCATAAATCTAACAGCTGATTATTTATGTGAATTTTCTTGCAACAAAAAGTTAGCCTAATAAACGATGTATAAACCAACACAATCGGTGGCCACTATTACATACATTTATAGGTCAATAGCCAGACAATTGGGTTTGCTATAATGTAAGTGTTTAGCTTGATAGTAAGATTCACGTCTTCAGACTTCGAAGAGGTCGCACCTATGACTGTTCACTGCAGAATGCAGATACTGCAAATACAACGGAAGATCCAAAGGAATCCATATTCATATTTGAGCACGAATTCAACTACTAAAGGCCACTAAATTCATTATTAATGCAATATTTTGGAAAATTAGTTGAAGAAATAAACAACAAACATCTTTGGCACAAAACTGGCACATTGATCCCAGCATGATTACTAAAGTACTTAAAGAATCCGCTCCACAGAACTGGCACAAAACTGGCACATCAATCTATTCTTGCTTGTTTGACTGGCTAGACTAAATCCCAGCATGATTGAAGACATACTTAAAGAATGACAACTTAATCTTACCTTGAACTTTGTCGTAACACTTAATTTTTGTGAATCCGCTCCACCAGATTTATACAATGCACCTACTACAGGCTTCTCAGATTGAGTGAGCATACTGGATGCAAAAGCCTGAGGAAGGTGACATGTGCAAGAAGACAGAAGCTGAATCGAATCTAAATGAAGTGAATCCCGATTCTTCTCTAAAAACCCTGTAGTGTCATAGGTAACCTGAGATGGCAACAAATTGAATACATACTCCTGTAAGAAGGCAAGAAAGAAAAATTGCATATATCAAGTAATACAGTAAAAATCAACTGAAGGTGAAATATTGATTCTGTCCAGTTGATCATAAGCTTTTCAGAGTATCTGTATACAAGAACCCATCAAGCATAGACCTTATATGCACTGATTAACCATTTAAGCATTTATTCAGCCTTCTAATATTCCATTCCCAATCCAATGAACTACGGCCCTTATCAATCAAGTAAGCCATAACCATCACTCATCCTTCAATTTGTTCAGAGAACAATAGAGCCCAAAAGACGATGTTTTGATTTTGTTTTGGGTTTCTGGGGCAAGTCTTCGAAGAAAGAATGTGCTTTGGCGATGGGCATTGAAAAATACTGTGTACTACTAGAAAAGTGCAATGGATAATTAATTATGTAGAATTTTGGTTTTGAGGGAGAGTAGGGGTAAGTTCGTTTATGGGGAACATATCCACAGATAGGTTTGAATTTACGAGGAAAAACCGAATAAACTGCAAGGGCATGCTCATGGCATTTGCATATAAGTTTATGAACCTTTTAGTTCCCCAGCAATTAGATTACCCTTTTCTTTTTTCTATCGCTGTGAAAGAATAAGATAAGGCTGCATGCGTTTCACAGAAGCTATCAATATATAGTCATAGAAAACTTAAGATAATAGTCCATACCTCTCCAGCATAATGGCACACCGTAAAGGCTTTCTCTCTTTCACCTCTAAAACAGGGGTTGGAGTTCAGGTGTTGCCTGAGCTTATTGGCAAAGCTCAAATCTGTGCCATTTGGGAAAGTTGATTCCTCATCCAGCAAGGATTGCAACCCTAATGGTTTCTGCTCAGGTACAAGTCAATCACTAATTTCAATATCTAAAAACTAGCCACATGGACAAATTTATGAACATGGTAAAAGTATCAATATTACACCAAGGGCTAGATGAAATACTGCATACTACACACAGAAAGTGCAAGGTTTTGTAATGTCTAGCCAAAATGTATTGCAGAAAGATCCAAACTATAAAATTCTCACGAAACAAAAAAAAAAAAAAAAAAAAAAAAAAAAAAAAATGTTCCACAGATTTAAACAATCAATTTAGACTCACAGGGAAGAACTGTTAAAGGATATCAATAGGACACAGCACAATAGATCACATTAACATCAAGCAAAGGTTAAAAGTCAACGATTCACCACTCAGCACGGACGGCTGTGAGTCTGTCAATTGCATATAATGTCGACAAATTTGACTTTATTACCTTCTCAAAGAGATTAAGACAATCTTGATTGTCTTCAAAATCAACTTTTGCCCAATCAATGCCATCTTGAATGTATTCCTGAGAAGACAAATATAAGAACTTGAACATTAACTTTGCTAATGTTGATTTAGCATTAATGATATCCAAAACCAAAATAATGGCTTATTTAACATATGTTAAGCTCTAAATAAATTTGAAGGGATAATTGGAGAATTAACGTTCATTTGGTCGAATGAGTAATATTGTTTTACCGGTCAACATGATAAAAGCAGTCATTTTAAAGTCATTCTGGATAATGTATGGACATTTCATGAGTCAGTATATTTGTATGCTTTCAAGCCTTAATCTTAAAGTTTACATTCATTGACAACTAAACCAGCATACCATTAGTTAGGTCTTACTTAGGTGCTAACCAAGGGGATTCTCTGTGTTATGTGATTATGTAAAAGATAATAGAAAGATGATTTGATAAACTGATTTTATTGATCACATGTCAAAATGATGAGATGTAGGGAATTATGTACAAGAATCTCATCACATAACAGCTTTGCAGATCACTTTACTCTCTTGCTAATTTTATTCTTATTGTTATTTTTATTTTTATTTTATTTTTTTATTTTTTTTATTTTTTTTTTTTTTTTTT